AGATAAGCAGATTTGTGTACCTTCAGTTTTAATGAGATAGAAATAACTTTGTGTGTAAACCTTCAATTGAAATGAACTCTGCTGAGAAGCTTTTAAGTTTGAGTGGATCACCTGGTTTTGTCCCAGAGGTCATTTCCCCCCTGTATTCCACTCTCAAACTTTGGCTTCTGTAAATCCATTTCTGAACAAAACATTGATTCATTCTTCATTTATTTGTGTTAATCTTACTTCATAATGTGTTAATATTATAGTTTATTTTCAATTTTTCCTCATAATTCCTGGACTGTGCTTTTAATGCTAAATTAATGTCAACATTGAATCAACCTGTGTCCTGGTATAACAGATGTTGCTGATTGTGTGCAGTAAATGCTATAGTAATAAGGAACAAGTTAACAATGAGAATGTACATAATTGTAATTTGGAAAAAGGCAATCACCAGCTGCTTATTTTTATGACCCCACCAAATAAGAACAGTCCTATAGGAATCAGCTGGATCTCTGTATCCTATTTCTAGCAGTATCTAGATGCAGATAAATCACATTTTTAAAGAATTAGTACATCTCCGTAGCACACCAATCTATTTCACTTGTATTAGTTTCTGAATACAGGTAATCTGGAGCCCTAGTAAACAGCCAGTTAAGTTTGGAATGCAGATCTAATAACTATCCAATAATTAATGGAAGACATTGGTTTTAATTTAATTAATAATCAATGGTTCATATTGGAGAAAAAGAACCTGATTGCCTTGCATAGTAGATATAGCCTGGTTGTTCCACTGCTGCTAATTGAATTAATGATTAATGAAACTATTGAATTAGTAATATTAATTAATGGAAGTGGCCACATTTGATCCTTGGATGAGCACCATCTGGCTACTAGCTTGATGTTCACTAAGACTCCAATTTAACCAAAGCCATGGCTGAAGGTTTATAAATTCAGAAATATGTGAACAGTCGTTTTGACTTGATGCTCTAACTTTGATAGGGGCCATGAATGGTAGGGCATCTGCTTTTCATTCAGCATCTTCAGTTAAAAGGATCAGGTAGTAGGTGATGTGACAGAATTCAACCTGAGGTGCAGGAAAGCTGCTGTCAGAGTAGACTGGTCTGACACAGGCTAAGGCAATTTTGTGTGCTGCCTTGAGCATTTCTCTTGAGGACAGGAGGCATATACATTTTCTAAACAAAAGAAATGTAAATAATGTGTGCTGGTTTATTTATTTTATTTGGGATATTTTTATTTATTTATTTATTTATTTATTTATTTATTTCACTTTTACCCCGCCCTCCCCAACAAGCGAGCTCAGGGCGGCTTCCAAAAACTGATAAGCAGTATACATTTTACAGTAATAGAATAAAATACATCATTTAAAAACATAGACAAGTCAATATAAAGCATTCATTTGAATGCGATAAAAATAAAGGGCAGTTTAGGGACACATTCAGCGGTGCCACCGCGCTAGGTCGTGTTGGATCGGAGTTCACACAGGGCGCTGCTGGTAGGACGTCACTCCTAGCTGATAGCCTGCCTAAAAAGTTCTGTTTTCATGGCTCTGCGGAACTGTGACAAGTCCCACAGGGCACTGATCTCGGCAGGAAGCTTTTTCCTAGTCCTGGTTACCATCAACCTGACTTCCTTTGGGCCAGAGAGGTCCCGGTGGTTTTGGGATCCTGATCGAAGTGCTGTCTGGGGAACATACGGGGAAAGGTGGTCCCTTGGGTAGGCCGATCCCTGACCATAATGGGCTTTAAAGGTCAAAAACAGCACCTTGAAACAAATCCAGAATGCTATTGGGAGCCAGTGCAGAGTCTTAAGCACAGGCTGGATGTGCTCCCACCTGGGGACACCCATCAACAGCCTGGCCGCTGTATTCTGCCCCAGCTGCAGCTTCCGGAGTTGCACCAAGGGCAGCCCCATGTAGAGAGCATTGCTGTAGTCCAACCTCAAGGTGACCATAGCATGGATCACTGCAGGCAGATCATCGCGTTCGAGGAAGGGAACCAACTGCTTAATCAGCCGAAGATGGTAAAAGGCTGCCTTGGCAGCGGCTGCTACCTGGGCCTCCATTGTTAAGGAAGCATCCAGGAGCACTCCCAAACTCCTGACCCTCGAAGCTGGTGCCCCACCGAAGGCTGGGAGTGGGATCCCTACCTCTGTACTGCTCCAATTCAGGCACAGGACCTCCGTCTTTGTCGGATTCAATTTCAATCGACTCAGTCTAAGCCATTCAGCCACGTCCTGCAATGTCCGGTCTGGATATTCCGGGGTAGAGTCAGACTGACCGCCCAACATCAGATAGAGCTGGGTGTCATCTGCATATTGGTGACAGCCCAGCCCATGCCTCCGGGCAATCTGGGCAAGGGGGCGCATATAGATGTTAAATAATATTGGGGAGAGCACAGCCCCTTGGGGCACACCGCACACTTGTGGGTGCCTTCAGGACTGCTGCTCCCCAATGATCACCCTTTGTCCCCGACCTTGGAGAAAGGAGACAAGCCATTGCAAGTCAAGCCCCTGAATTCCCATGTCGGTGAGATGGTTGGCAAGCAGCTGATGGTTGACCGTGTTGAATGAAACCGACAGGTCTAACAACAGCAGGACTGCCGTCCCGCCTCGATCCAGATGTCTCTGGAGGTCATCTGTGAGAGTGACCAGTACTGTCCCATGGCCAGGGCGGAAAGGATCTAGCATGGAAGCGTCATCCAGAAAGCTCTGCAACTTTATCGCCACCGCCCTCTCAATTAACTTCCCCAAATAAGGCAAGTTGGAAACCGGCCGATAGTTGGCCAATTTGGCCGGATCCAGGGATGGCTTTTTAAGAAGGGGGCAGACCATCGCTTCCTTGAGAGCCCCTGGGAACAGTCCCTCCGAGAGGGACTTGTTGATAATATCCATGAGAGCGCCTTGCAACCCCTCGCGGCCAGCTTTAATTAGCCAGGAGGGACACCAATCAAGGCGGCAAGTGGTTGGGTGTACAGTTGAGATCAATCTGTCAACTTCCTCTAGGCTGAGTGAACCGAAATAATCCAGAATGGGACCAGAAGACGTGCATGGAGCCTCAAGTTCACTCACTGTCTCAACTGTGGCGGGGAGGTCGCAGCGGAGCACCAAGACTTTATCTGCAAAGTAGTTTGCAAAAGCCTCACAGCCGATGTCCAATTCCCAAGTGTTTTGTCTGAATTGTGGCAGAGCTGTTAGAGACTGAATTGTTCTAAATAATTGTGCTGGGCATGAGCTGGCAGATGCAATCGAGGCTGTGTACAACTCCCTCTTTGCAGCTTTGACTGCCACCTCATAGGATTTCATAAATGTCCTATAAGATGCTCTTGTTGCTTCATCACGAACATGCCGCCACTGTCTCTCTAGCCATCTAAGCCTTTGCTTCATCAGCCTCAGCTCCTGGGTATACCAAGGAGCCAGCCTAGTGCACGGGTGCAGAGGGTGTCTGGGAGCAATCTCTTCGATGGCTGTCAAGAGTTGGTTTTGCCAGTCCTCAACTAGCTCATCTAATGAGCCACCAGGTTCTCCCTCAGGGCACCTCGGAACCCCTCACAGCCAGCTTTAATTAGCCATGAAGGGCATGGATAAAGGCTGCAAGTGGTTGGGTGTACAGTTGAGATCAATCTGTCAACTTCCTCTAGGCTGAGTGAACCGAAATAATCCAGAATGGGACCAGAAGACGTGCATGGAGCCTCAAGTTCACTCTCTGTCTCAACTGTGGTGGGGAGGTCGCAGCAGAGCACCAAGACTTTATCTGCAAAGTAGTTCGCAAAAGCCTCACAGCCGATGTCCAATTCCCTAGTGTTTTGTGGCAGAGCTGTTAGAGACTGAATTGTTCTAAATAATTGTGCTGGGCGTGAGCTGGCAGATGCAATCGAGGCTGTGTACAACTCCCTCTTTGCAGCTTTGACTGCCACCTCATAGGATTTCATAAATGTCCTATAAGATGCTCTTGTTGCTTCATCACGAACATGCCGCCACTGTCTCTCTAGCCATCTAAGCCTTTGCTTCATATGCCTCAGCTCCTGGGTATACCAAGGAGCCAGCCTAGTGCACGGGTGCAGAGGGCGTCTGGGAGCAATCTCTTCGATGGCTGTCAAGAGTCGGTTTTGCCAGTCCTCAACTAGCTCATCTAATGAGCCGCCAGGGTCCATGGGGTCCCACAGAGCCATCTGAAGCTGCACTGGGTCCATTTGGCTCCACGGGCGAGCTAAAATACACTTGCCACCCAAACAGGGTAGGGGTGACACATTCACTCGGGCCCTCAGGACATGGTGGTCCGACCATGGAACTGCCGTATACATGGCATAATTTGAAGAATGAAAAATGATGTCCCTTCTGAATGCCTAGAATGTTGGATGGGTACTCTTCATGCTTGTGCTCAATGTTAGAATATAATTGTAAGAATGGAAATAGGTAAACAAGGCAAGAAGGATATCTAGGTCTGGAAAGATGCTGTATGCCCCTTTTGCACTTAAAAAACAACAATCCTGGGCTGCCCATTTTAAGTCATTCCTTTCAACTTTAAAAACTTCTACACCCCTCCTTTAGCTTCCATGAGTCAAGAAAGGAAAGGATCAGGGAGATTGCTCAGGCTTGAAAACACAAGTTTAAATGTGGTGGTGCACCTGCTATTTTCAGACACACAGATTGTAGAAACAATAATGCTGCCTGCGGCTTTCTGATTCTGCAAGTATGAATGACACTATAGAATTTGTTACTGCTGTTGGAGCAGTGGTGGAGCACAGAAGTTGCTGATATTGCTTTACAGTGAAAGCGTGTTTAAAACTAATGGCTTTAGGGCTACAGCAGTATGTTGCCTTGAAAAATGCTGGATCTGAGAACTTCTCACTTTCCCCTTCTATTCCCAGGCATTCACTTTTAAAAGCTCTAAGTCTGTAACTCAGCAGAAACAGCAATAATCTTCACATCAGATGCTAGCCAATATGTATGGCATTGAATCTAAATGGAGATTTCCTCCTCTTCCTTTTCATTTTTAGAGTGGGAAATGAATAACTTGGAAATGGATCTGTCTTCTAATGGCTCACCAGTAACCATTATAGAAAACATTGCCTCGCAGCTAGTGTGTAGCCCAGTGGATAAGAAAGTTGCTTTGCGGATGGATGAAGAAGATGAGCTCAGACACTTCCATGAATATTTCCACATTCCCAAAGCGAAGGATCTGCCTCCAAGTAAGAGCTGCAATTATACTGAGGTGGCTTGGCATACATTGATCATAAATCTGCAGGAATTCTGAATAAAATGCAAGAATACAATACAGCACTTATGTGGTGCTTATGCTATCATTCAGCCCTTTTGAACAATATGGTGACTGATTGAAAATTGTAGGCAGGAGCAGTTTTTCCTGATGGATTCAAGCTGCCTTGCCTCCAGGCACTTATCTCCAAAGCTGCTTCAATAAAAGAAAATTTTTGCATTATCAATTTTCTCGCTGTTGGATGAAATTCACTAGGTCTTGTTAGCCAAATTGCCTCAAATCATGATCTAATATGGGGAGTTATGATCTTAAACCAGGCAATAGGCGACTGCGGGGGTGAGCATCTATGTATACAGGGGTTCTGTTTCCTCCAGACACACCAAATAGATGCTGAGACTGGCGTCGGTATAAGATGATTTTGTTTACTGAATATATTTCAAGCATACAACAACACAGGCATACACACAATTATACAGCACCTAGGAAATATAGATAGAAGAGAATAGCACATTCGCATTAGCAGGATGTTTCGATGATGGGAGATACTCTACCTGTCTGAAGTTGGATGGAGCGAATCTCAGGAAAAGGATGGGACTATGGGGTGCTGGGGAGAGGGTCGTGTCCTGAACCGGCAGGTGCACGATGAGACTCTGTCTGTGCAACCAAGTGTCGGAGGCTTCGGGTAGGAGGGGGTCAGGTAAGCAAGCAAGAGTGCAAGTAAGCAAAAGCGAGAGCTGGTGTTGGGCCCTCACTTTTATTAGGAGGTTGAGGGGTGGGCTAAGCTTGGCCACCTCTCTTGGCACACCTCCTGTTAGTCCATCCCCAAAAATATGCTGACTGGTGCTGGGGTTGAAGGTCTGGGGAGTGGGCAATGTTAAACCTAATGAGAAACTAGTCTGAACAATGGCACCTGATGGGATTATGTCCTGTGTTGGCCAGAGCCATTGTTTCCTTGTTGTCTTATGGCTGTGGTTTCAACTAGGTGATGTATTAGGTGGGGAAAAACATGTTGCTTACATGCAAGGAAAGGGGATTCTTCATGGAGTCTGGGTCCCCTGTCTTCTGGCCCGGCATGGCAGCAGCCTGGCTTCTTAGTGCTATACATGGCTAGGGAACTGGTCCATCTTATTGCAGGTAAGAAGGTTGATGACATACAGGAACTATGGACACATCATCTCACAGGAAGGCTTCCTTCTTCTGGGTGCGTGTCTGTGGCTGGCATCATTTGGAGTCACCTTCTCATAGGGCAACAGTCTACCATAAAGATTCCATTTGAAATGAATGGATGTTAGCACATGAACAGGTAAACTGCAGTTGTGTTTTTTAGCCTTTTCATTGATTTAAAGTGCTTCTATCCCATGTTCATCCACATTTGCTTCCAAGGCAAAACAATATTATATAAGATCAGTAATCAAAATTAAATAAAAATCAACCCGGAGGCAAGAGACCAGGATAAAACAATACATTTGTAGAAATTTCAACAATATTTGTAGAAGTCTTATAAGAATCCTTCAAACCAGAAATATTCTACAAAAAATAGATGGTGGGATCTTTCTTTCTGAACCTCACAACCAGTCAAGAGTTGCAAGTCTGGGCTAAATGGGTTGTAAATCTGACTCTGTTAAGTCATTCACCAAATCACTAGAAATCAGCAAAACTCCTGGTTTTTTTCCTTAATTCTTTGGTGCTTAAGACTCACAAGATGAATTTTTACGGAGAGGAACTTCTATACTGTGGACTACAAAGAAGAAAAGGTCTGGGTCTGGTACCTACCCCCCTCCCATTGTTTTCAAAATGAGAGGACACAGAATGGGCCATCAGATGCTGATGTAAAATAAAGGTTAGGTTCATAATGGAATATGTAATCCTTCAGATACCTCTGTTCCAGGCTTCTGAAAGTAATGCTAACAATGACCAGTACTTTGAAGCGTGGCTGGAAGCAATCTGCAGGGAATATATCTTAAAAATGGTAAGATGCCTATAGATAACACCATCAAATGTCATTACTAATATATTTCCCACCATTTGAGGCTTGCAAATAGGGATAGGCATGTATGGGGGGGAAAGTGGTTTCTGACATTTCGTAGTTTATGGCAAACCCACAAACCAAACCATGAACCATCACAAACTAAAAAGGCTTCATATGAACTGAACCAGTTTCTGAGGTTTGTAATGTGTTAGAATGGCCCACTGGTGTGCTAGAGACACCAAAGTCAAAGTGGTTCTTCAGTAAACTGTCTTCTACCTGTCCTCCAGATTTGGTGAATATTGGACTTTGGGGATTCAAGTTATGCCCCCCCCCAAAGAAGGTGCCCCCAGGAAAGTACTGTCTGGGGAAATAACAAGCACAGGTTCAGGAGTATAGAATATACTCTGTGCAAACTAGAGACATCAAGGTCACAGGGAACTTGGCATGCTCTTCTGCATGCCCTCCAAGTTTTGTGCATATTGGACTTAGTGGGTCCGAGTTATGTCCCCCCAAAGATGCCCCAAGGAAAAGTGCTTTTGGGGGAAATGTCAAGTGCAGGTTCAAAATGGTGGAATGAGCTCCTGGAGGAGATCAGGGCCCTTCAGGACCTTTTGCAGTTCTGCAGGGCCTGCAAGATGGAGCTCTTCCACCAGGCTTTCAACTAGGAGCTGCCCTTCCACTATTACCATCAACGAGTCCGGCCCTTGGTTTTTAACATCTGCTCATTTTCATTGAGTGACGGAGGACGACACAGAGCTGGAACATAGCAGTTGTCTAGATATCTGAATGTGCTTTACTAGCACTTTAGGATTTTATACGATTTTATATTTTTATTAAGTACTCTACTGTTGTATATTGTTTTATTGGCAATTGGTGCCATTGTTGTAAGCCGCCTTGAGCCCGGTAGAAATCGCATAAATAAATAAATAAAAATGTATATAGAACAGACTTCCTACGAGCTACGTACACCCTGCTGCTCCTCTACAATCTCTCCAAGTTGGATGATGTTACAACATGTTACAGACCCCCCCCAAAAAAAGGGTCTCCCCAGTGGCCTCTCTGGAAAAGACAGTGGCAGTTCCAGGAGTCTATGGAACAGCTCATAAACAAGCCAGTGACACCAGACTAACAGGGAATTTTCACCTGAGCACACCCCCCAGCCAGGCAATGAAGCAAGGCAAACATTCTCCCTATGCTCGCAGCCCCCCCTCCAAGCTTCCAAAGGCAGATTTTGAAGGACAGAAAGGCACACCCAAAATTTTGATGGGGGTCCCCCAAAATAACCCCACGGCAGCTTGTCAGACAACCCAGCCAGACACCACAAAAAACGGAAGCATGCCCATAATTCTCACAGCCCCTCAGCAGGGCTGAAACACACAAGTCCAGAGTATACAACATTATCACCCTTGGTGTATTCTATTCTGCAAAGAAATGGAAACACACATGTTGAGCTGGCACATGTTGGGTGGCCGCCCCCCCCCCCCCCATCTCCAAAGGCAGGTCCTGGAGGACAAACTTTCAGGGTGTTGAAATGTTTCCAAACAGTAGCCTGGAAACGGCCACCACAATTGGAGCAGGTGGAAGGCACAGTTGCTTTCACAGCCCTGAGTCCACTTTAGACCCAAACCTGTAGGTGTGCCATGACATATGTAGATATGGTTGCTCAGAACCCTGAGACCACCTGAGACCCAAACCCCAAAGCACGCAATTTGTATGTAGACATGGTGGTTCGAAGCCCTGAGACCAGAGACCACCTGAATTAGTGTGAGCTAACTCACAGTTTTTTAAGTGTCCAGCTCACACATTTTTGTCTTATCTCAGGAAGGATGGCTCCAGAGCAAACTAATCCATGCAGTAGCCAAATCATTTGCTTGCAACCTTAATGCCAGTAGCTCACAAAGTAGAATTTTTGCTCACAAGACTCCACAGCTTGGAGGAAGCATTGCCTGAGACCCAAACCCAAACTAGCATGCAATGATGTGTGTAGACATGGTGGCTCAAACACCTGAGAACCAGCTGAGACCCACACCTGAAAACAAAAAAAACAACAAAAAAACCCCCAACGTAAGTAGACATGGTGGCTTGAAGCCCTGGCCCCATAAACTTGTTTGACAAGGTTTCCAGAAAGCCAACCCCCCCCCCAAAAAAAAACAGTTGAGTGATGGGGAACAGTTTGCTTTCTGCTTCTCAGTTGTTTAGGGTTGTCTTGTGCTGTCCCTTTAAACTTTAAAGGGGCTGCACAAGACAGCCCCCCCAAAAAAGGTGAGCAGCAGGGAGGCACTCTTCTGCAGTCACTTCAAACCCCTGCTTTTTGTTCCATCCATGAACTGCTTTAAAAGTTCATGGAAGTTTGTGACGATGTACCTGTCATGAACTTCTGTTCACAGACCATGAGCATGGCAAAAAAAATGTTGACATGGTGGCTCGAAGCCCTGAGAAGGGTTGGCCATGCACAGCAATCACCTCCTCAATGACACAAGTGAGTGTTTCCGGGGCCCTCCCCCTAGCCCTTTCAGATAGCACTGTCATGTCAGTGTCCCAGGGGATGTCCTCTTGGAGGGTGACCTGGAAACGGTGGCCCCGAGTCTACCAAAAACCCATAGCGTGCCCACAAAGTGTGGTCACCAGAAACCCAAAGCGTGCCCATGCTCATGTCAGTATCTGTATCTATACTGGCAAGCTGTCAGTCTGCCATGAGCAGCAATGTCAGATCTGGATGATCTGGTTATGACAGTCAGTGGTCAGGTGACAGGCAGATTGCATCAGACTCTGCACAATCACCATGACTAGGCTTTATGTAAATTACTGTGATTTGATTGGTCTTTGTAAATATAAATGGAGAGCTGTACAGTGCTGAACATCTCCTGTGTGGGATCAGTTGTCTGCGAAGCACCTTGTCGGAGTGAACTGTGAGTTGGACTCAGAAAGGCTGTAAATATACTCCAGTGTAAATAAACTGTAAATACTCTAAACTACTCTGCTACTTTTCGGCGTCTCTAACTACC